TAAATAGGCAAGGCAAATAGAGTTTAATAAGTATGAAACACTGAGTTGGACCAGCGATGTACATGAAACAGGTTTCACTGGGTTGTATCAGTGATGAAGATGAAATGTGATAGAGGTGAAACATGATGTAGGTGAAATATGATATAGGTGAAATGTGATAGATATGAAACACTGATGTAGGTGAAACACATCAAGTGATGGGATTAGTCATACAGTTACAAGGTCAATGACGAATAGTTAGGGAAAGAAAAGAAAAGAAAAGAAACTCCCCCCCCCAAGCTGTAACAATTACTGCATTCGCCACGTTCCCAGGACACGGTTGGGTAAGGCGGATGCACCGTCACGGGCAATCAAGATGCGTCTGAAGGGGGGGGTGAACTTCCTGAGGAAGAAGTCCTTCTCCCATCAGAAGTCTTCATTCAAGCCATTCAGAACCTCGAATCTGTCAACACTGACATCAAACAACGCATCTTGACCTGCAAAACCAAAGACAGCATCGCCGATCACGGACTTTGGCTAGCACTACAACACACTTCTTCCACGGACAAGCATACTCTGCTTAACTGGGACATTTGAGACAACTTACTGGTATTCAGAGGACAAGTCTACATACCCAAGGACACCAAACTTCGACAAGATCTCATCCAGGAAGCCCACGATTCCTCTACCACAGGACACCCTGGGCGATACAAGACTCAGGAGATATTGCAAAGAACCTATTGGTGGCCCACTCTTGCGTGCAATGTCAGTGAATATGTCACTGGTTGTGCAACTTGCCAAGAGAATAAAGTCATCACATATAGGAACTCACCAGATCTAGTACCGATCGCAACGGAACATCACCTTCCATTCCAATCCATCGCCATGGACTTCATCACGGATCTACCTCGGAGCAAGGACTTTGACAGTTGCCTAGTGGTTACTGATCATGACTGTACCAAGGCTTTGGTATTCATACCCTGCAACAAAACAGTCACAGCATCTGAAACTGCTACCCTGTATCAAAACCATGTCTTCAGAAGATTCGGACTACCCGCTAAAGCCATCTCCGACAGAGGACCACAGTTTGCATCATGGATGTTCAAGGAACTATGCGCTAAATTAGGCATCAAACAGAACATTTCTAGCGTATTCCATCCTCAAACTGATGGACAGTCAGAACGTGTCAACCAAGATCTGGAATTGTATCTTTGGATCTTTTGTAATCACCGAGCAACTGATTGGACAAGTCACCTGCCGCTAGCAGAATTTGTGCATAACAATAGGTATCATGATGCAATCAAGATGTCTCCCTTCCAGGCGCTCATGGGTTACCAACCTCGGCACAATATTCCTACTGTGGGAATAACTGATGCTCCAGACATTGCTTCTAGACTCACTCAACTAGCACATCTTTGCACAGAAATTCAATCCAGTATCCGACTAGCAGAAGAGACAGTCAAGAAACAAAACAAGGAAAAATTCATCAAATATACACCTGGACAGAACGTATGGCTGGAAGCAACCAACCTTAAAGGACTCCATCCAAAAGCCAAACTAGGACCAAAGTACTATGGACCCTTCACTATCAATCAGAAGCTGTCATCGGTGGTTTATCGGTTAAAGCTACCACCGAAATGGAAGATTTACCCTGTGTTCCACACAGGATTACTCTATCCTTATTTGGAAACAACAATGCACAGGAAGAACTACCTCTGACCATCCCCAGAACTAATCAAGAACCAGGAGGAGTTTGAAGTTGAAGGTATCATTGATTCCAAGAAAGTTGGCAAGTGAAGACTGTACTGAGTACGATGGAAAGGATACCCGGCATCGGATGACTCCTGGTTGCCGAAAGCCGAACGTTCACATGCCAAAGACGCTTTGGCAGACTTTCTGCAACCAAACAAAGAATGACTCCTTATAAGAACCATTCATCTCAATCTCCCCCAATGGCATCCACAACCTTACTCCTCGCCCTCCTGCTCACCAGCTGGTTCCTCATTGCCATCCTCATCCTCATCCTCACCCTCACCATCTTCTTCCTCAAGGAGACCTATACCATCCGCCTCCAAGTTGACTGGATCCCCACTCCCGTCACCACCCCCATCACCAAACAAGCCCTCAACTGGGCAAATAATGGAGCACAAGTAACGTCCCCAGTTGAGTTAACACCTACCCCCTTTACTGACCTCCTCAGTGGTGAACCAAGTCACCCCCTTTGCCACCATCACCCTCACCATCATCGACGAGCATCACCACCTCCTCCTCCTAGCCCTTCTGGGCTTCTTCCTCACCACCCTCCTCTCCATCCTCGCCCTCGCCCTCATCGTCCCCCTCACCCTTCATCTCACCATCTGGCATCTAGAGAGGGAACACCAGTGGGCGTTCAACATCGCCGCCACTGCCCAACGCCCCCTCCCACATACAACTACCACCCTCCCCGTCATTGCTGCCAACCGCGACAGCAACAATCCCACTCAAGTATACTTTGAGTACATAAGGGAGCATCAAGATTAGTTTCTGGGGTCTTACTTTGTCTGTAGTACTTGGTTCCTCTTGTATTCTGTGTTTAGTCTTTTCAAGAAAACTCCTTTCCTGTGCTTTCTCCATGCCTGTTGAGTGTAACACCCGTGCCAGAAACAACAATGAGACTCCTTGTTAAGGGACCTAACGACTGAGGATCAGGAGTTCAACTGGTTAACTG